ATGTATGATTTCCAGAGACCTGGCAGTTTAAGGCTTCTTGGGCTGGAATCTGCTCGTTTTTCCAGGTGTTAAAGTTTTAATACCCCTCAGCAGCTGCATGGTATATTAGTTATATTAGTTACTGCAGATTGAGGGTCCAAATACCAGTCAGGGCATGCCTCTGGTCAGGGTCTCAGGACAGACCCCTAATGCTGCTCAGCCTGAGAGTATGACTGAGAGACACAACTAACAGAAAAACACACAGCTGGGTTTGTTTCCCCCTCAGGCCGTTTGCTGTTCATCATCTCCACTCTCTCCCCCCACCTTCCTGTCTCCTGTCGCTATTAGATATAAAAAGAAAGACTTTATTTATCCCAAAAGTGGGAAAATTAACTGCTTTCCAGCAGCCAAAACATCAAAAACAAGTTAGCTTAATGAAATAAATACAAGATCACCACAGCAGGTAGCTCCACATGTATGATTTGGCAGATTTGTACAACAGACACCCTTTCTGACATAACACCGTAGGGGATTTGTGTCTCCTGCTGGTATTGAACCAGCAACGTTTACAGTATGGAGCCAGTAAATTAATAAGAAATACAATGAATACAGATGTTGTGCAAATGTTTAAGACAGTGTTGAGCTGCATGTGCAGTAAGAGGTCAGCATGGTCAGGATCCATTAATTATCCACATCCATTCACCACACCCACGCTCGTTAGGATGAGCCCCCCGTCAGCTGATGGAGGAATCCAAACAATTTGCAATGAAGCAATAATTCTGAATAAAATGCATCTGAATTATATAAAATCCAAGTTTTGTTCATTCAAAAAACGAATCATTAAAGAAAATGTGATTGGTATGTAATAAGATTACTTAAAATCAGAATTTTGGGTGCAAATATTTTTCTTGCTGGTAGAAATCAGATTTAAAGTCTGGAAAACGAAAAAATTCATGTCCATGTGCACATTTTTCCACAGGAATGAGTTTTGTGCGCACAGGAAAAGCGGTATCAGTTTAAATAATAATAAAGGGTTGTTTAAAAAGAATTTATAAAGTGCTTTGAAAAGCAGGTGAAAGTAGAAAGCTTACAGGCTAGATGAAAATGAAAAGGCTGAATAAAATAAAGTTAAAAAGAAAGAAAAACATGAAGATGCAAAATAGAAATGAAATAATTCAGATGAAGGAAAATGGCTAGATACAAAATCTATAAAAGACATGTGGTGGCATCACACAAAATCAAAGGGATCTTGCTCAAAAAATGAAGTATATTAAGTAGTCTTACTTTTATCTTTGAAGGAAGTGCGTGTTTTGTGGATTGACTGAAAGCATCAATCCACAAAACACAACAAATATTTTATCAAATCTGCAAACAAATTACACATTTTTGAGAGTTTTCTGTTCAATGAATGCTAAATCAAAACTGAAAGAAGTGAAGGAATACCCCAAAAAGCTGAGAACGGCATCGCTGCAGCCTTCTAGAATTAATCAAAGTGTGTGGTGTAGTAGCCCGCTGCACAGTGATTTGCAGAGCAGGTATTCAGCAGTACAGCACACTTGTCATGTGTTTGTAGTTGGCTTCAATGAGCACGAGCGTTCCTGCTGGTACAGTGACAGCGAGAGATCCTCAGCGCACGCTAATAACGCGTTTCTGTCAGCAGAGCTAAAACCTGTTTGAATTCAGGGCTCAAATAAAGGGTAACAAACCGTGCTCTGCCATCTCTGCATTCAGCAGTCAGTTCGAAATACAAACAGAAGCACCTGTCCATCAAAAAAAAAGTCAATTATTTATGGGAGAATCATCAGCTGACCTCAGAACAGCAGAGAAACTTCATGAATCTGTTATTTTTTGTTTCTTTCCACTGCAACACATCTCTGCTGTGCAGACCAGCTGAACTCGTCTAGCAGAACATGTGCTATCGTTGGCTGTTCAGTTTCTCAACACTCAAATTGCCATTAAATCCGAGTTTAGGAGATTTTAATTAGTTAGAGATTTTATTCATGCTGAGTGATTAAATCTAACTTGATATAACTGTTTGGAAAGTGTGACACAGCCGACCGTGACTTTGATCAGTTGCAGATGAGTCAGCCCATCAGAGAACAGCACTCAGACTCATTATTACTTGGCACTGAGAAGAGTAGACATGTGGCTCCTGTCAGCATGATTACTCACATCTAATAAAAAACACAGACACCTGTGGAGCCGACACAGCTGCATGAAAAGTAAAATTAAACTACACAGGGGACCATCGCTTCCATGACGTGCCCTCAGCGTCATGACTGACCCTAATGCTAGATTCGATAAGCCACAGACCCGAGCCCAGAATACTGCAACAGCTGCACACCTGCAAGCCACTCTGCAACCCTCCTCCACACCAGCTAATCCATTTCTTACCTTCGGGGAGATTTAACTCTGCTCTGCAGTTAATATGTATGGAAACGTGGTTTTTGCACAATTTAAGCTAACATAAGCTAGCATGAATCCCAAGAAGGAAACTTTTCCTGTAATTTTTATTTTTATTCTCATAAAATCCTGATTTAGAAAAATATTTTCTTTTGCAACATAAACTTTTAAACTTTTTATTCATATCAGCTTCAAACTTTATTACAGCAACTCTCTGAACTTCAAACTAGGAAAACAAATGATTGGATATTTGAAACTGAATTATTAACAGGTCTGTGCAGAGTGAACTTAAACACGGCATTAATACCTTTATTTTATTTTTGTTTAATTTTATATCTGTAACACATAAATCTATAATTATGTACATTGCATTATGAGCTTTTTTGAACTTTTAAAGTCATGCTAAAAACATGTAGGCTATGATCTCCACTGCAGTTAGAAAGCAAAATATTTTTGACTCGGCTGTTCTGAATTGAGGTTGATGACTTTGATAATGAGAATTACTCTGGATCGCACAAATGTATCATTTTTTTAAACCTTTGATGCTTTTCAATCAAAATAAACATCACAAAAATGAAAAAGATAATATTTTGATTTTTTTCAGATGAAGAAACTTTATTATTGCTGTCATGTTAGCTGACCTGAGATGTAGAGAAGTGTTTAAAAAGGAATGTTCTGCACTCAGCTTCACATCTGTTCGGGTTTCTAATGAGCTGCTTTATTTCTAAATGCTGAAAATGATCTCATTTAAGCCTCACTTTCCTTTTAGCCCTCTGCAGTGTGTATGGGGAAGCCTGTCACTGTTTCTGGGAAAGAAAAAAACTGTTTGTGCAGTTTGTTAGTTAAAGCTTCACTCACTGATAGGTGTAATAAGAGCAATTAAGAATAAATTTAGTCAATAAATAACAAATGAAGACAGACAGTTACTAATGTTCCCATAACTACTTTAAATGCTTTTAATTTTCTTTTGACTTTTGCAGCTTGCCTCCAATTTCATCAGTGTTTGTCTCGGCATAGTCTTGCCTTTTGTCTTATTCTGTCTCAACCAGAGCTTCTTTCCAAAGATTTTTGCTGGTGCAATAACGAGGCTTCCTACAAAGCTTTGTTTCATGTTTCAGACAGCATGAAACTAACAGCTGACAACATTCTGGGCCTGTATCTGTAAATGCTTTTGTTTGGAAGATATAACAGCAACAAATGAGACATTAAAAGGTCTTAAAAGTCTTAAAATAGTTTTTAAGATTATTTAATGTTTCTGATGCTGAGATAATACCAAAGATGAGTACCAAAAGCTGATAAATGACTTCATTCTAGTCTGTTTTAATTAAGATTGGATTTCTCAACCCTGACTTACGCCAAACCATATGATTTAAAACCTTCTGGACAAACAGTCTCTGTTAGCTGAATCACCTCAATTATTAATAAGAAACTGACAAAATAACAAGCCTGAGCTTGGCTGTTACTGGCATCTGTGATTGATAATGTGACTTCTAACCCGCTTTCATGTCCAGATTATTTGAAACTGTTATTAGCAAAATGTTCACATCAGTGTCACCCACCCAACTGTCCCGATGCAGGTGGCACTTTTAATTGGCCGGGTGAGGCAGGGGTTGTTAGTCAAAAGGCTTCCTGTCAGGGTTAACTCTTTCATTTATTACCAAACTATTGAACTTTACTGTGCTGCTATAACTTCAGTTTTGTTTTTTTGATACAGAATTCAATTTTGGGATTGCTGTGATCCTCGTGTTCCCCGCCTTATCTAGGCTAATGTATTAGCTTAAGTCGCTGGTTAATGCCTCCAGGTGACAAAAAGTAATATTAGAATTCAGTTGGAGTAAAATTAGAGACTACCTAAAGAAAGTAAGACCAATAGTTGCCCTTTAACCCCTCTGTGTTCATGTGTTGCTGGCTTATTGTGTTAATTTTTAAAAGCTGTGCAGAAGATGAAAACCTGCTGATAAAAGCTAACTGCTAAAAGCTAACAAGCTAAAACAGTCATGCTATGATTCTCTTTGGGTTTATCACTGCAAGACCTTAAGATTTTAGTAATTTTCGACATGAAAGAAGTTTATGTGCATCTTTGAAGCTTTACAATACAGCTGGCGATGGAGGTCAACAAACTGAGCAATCAACTGTCATGACAGCTAACTGAAAAAATGAAAAAAAAAAAAGCTAAGGTTTTAACCTCAGGAGTTTTCCAATTAGAAAAACATGCTCGCCTCTGTCTCCCATTTCTGCACCACTACTTTCCTGCCACAGCTGTGTGAGAGGTCTGCCTCACTATTAGGCTAAAGTCTGGCATAATTAGCATAAAAGAAGAGAAGGGTAAGGGCCGGTAATCCTTGTTTGAGGACGTACAGTGCACTCGAGCATGAAGCCGTGACAAAAAACGACACTAATTAGGACAGAAAGAAGAATATAAATCCAGCTGTAAACCCGCTGTACCTCTCTGTGAGTTCATTTGAACACATCCAGGGCGGGTTTCTCTGTCTTTGTGGTCCTCGCTGAAAGTTAGTAACCTTTAGAAGTGGAGCGCTGCTCATGTAAAATTCAAACAGCCTTGGAGCATGCTAGCTCTGTCAGTTTGTGTTTGTATCCGCGGCGCCGTGAGCTCCTACCTGGGAGACGGGAGTCGTGGACATTTTGACACGTTGTTGAAACAGCACGCTCAGTATGCGGTTTTGTTGCTCCAAGTCAAACACACGGGTCCGCAGCTTCACACACTCCTCTTTGAGGTCCTGGAAACAAATACAAAATGGACAGATGACGGCGACTGACGGTGGCACTTCAGAGACATACACGTAAATCAGATGCTAATTTAGCAGCCACAGGGAACGACGGTGTATTCAACTAAAGATGCACATGATGGTGCTCGAAAACATGAGCAACCTGGTAAGGAGGACCTACAGAGGTGTGACTTAAGAGGGGGGCTAAGGTGGCGAAACCCCCATGATACCGCATGAAGTATACTTATAAACTATAGTCAATTTCTCACAGCCGCTGTGACCATTCTTCACATAAACTTACAGCAAAACCCTTCATATGTTACTTAAATATCAGACTTTCTGTGTATAGCATTGTTGGTCATGACAGGGTACTTCTGCCAGGGTTGTTTACAGGATTTCGCCACAGAGTGGGTCCAGGAACGAGACCAGGGAAAGAGAAAATGAGAATATTTGATGATAAATGGTAAATGGTAAATGGCCTGTATTTGTATAGCGCTTTACTAGTCTCTAAGGACCCCAAAGCGCTTTACATATCCAGTCATAATAAACAGAGCATACAGCGTGCAGCCTGCCTGAGAATACCCTGGGCGTGGCTGCGTCTCTTTCTGACTCCACTGCGGGTGCTCAATCGAATCGTGTCCACTCAAGACAGTATTTCAGTGCCGCAGAGACCCAGAAACAGAGCTCAGGTTGTCATTGCTTAAAATAGTGCTGGTTCTGTTTTTTAAGGAGCCTGTGTGGAGCTGCACAGAGCAGGAATGGAGTACATTTTCAAAAAAGACTGCTTCTGAAATGGTCCTGGTGTAATTTACCGTATTTTTTGGACCACAAGGCTCACCGGTTTATAAGGTGCACTGTCAATGAACGGGTCTGTTTTCATACATAAGGAGCATTAAGCGAAACAAAACAGTCAGATAAGTCAAACTTTACTCAACTCATTCTTCTTGCTTCCTCCAATTCCGTATCATTCATTCTTTAATGTTGAATTCTCTCACAGATGTTCTATTCCCGTGTCGTTGCAGTATATTAATGACTAACCTCGTATTATTGATGGATTATCTCAGTTGTTCTCCTGACTGAACTTTTATCGAGTAGAAAAAAGTTAGCGTTCATCCTACAGCTTCACTGTGTTTATGTTATGCAAACATAAACACATAGCTGTGTCGCTAGCGATCACAGAGCACATAATTATATACCAGTTAGCCTAACTTCAGTAACACTACAAACGTCACTTCTGTTTAGTTTTCTCTCTTCATTTATGTTGGAAGTGATAGCAGAGCTGTACGTTTGAATTTTTCCAGAAATCTCTCAGTCAGAACATGGTATATCATGATTAGGTGGAAACTAGCGAGCTAACTTCCTGCTAACTTCTAACTCTAATAAATTTTGTTTTCATGGATGCCTGGATGTACAACTTAATTGTTACACCTGGTAAAGCAGTCACACTGATCATTTTATTAAAGATGAAAGAATTTAGATCGTTTTTAACTCTCAGTGATGCCGCAGTGTTTGTTTGACTTTGGGACCTGAAGTGGAGTTTGGTCTCGGATTACTCCGTGAGGCTCCTGACTACGGTAGCCGTAATGCTCCGACAATGTACAAACCTTTTGCGTGAGAAGAGCCTGGACCACCTGATTAGCCACCTGAAAGAGACGAGAAGGAACAATGTGTTTAAAAAAGTTTGGTCATTATTTTAAGAGTTGAACTTTGTGACTTTGAGATGCAAAGAGATTGTAAAACGACCGAGAATAAAGTTCAAAAATGAGGATTTAGAGGCATGGACGGTGCCGTGAGGACAAACTGACATGGCGTTGCATCAGAGTCGGGCTCGTTGAAACCACACAGCTGTTGCCCGCGGTTACTGCATGTCTGACCACAGAAAATATACACATGGTTAATGTTGATGTCCTAACTTTTTCATTCTGTATTCTGTGTGAATTTCTGCAGGAAGAAGAAAAAGTTCAGCTCAGTTGTATGGATTGATTTTTAAAAAAAGAAGAAGAAGACTAATCTGAAACGCTTTCTTTCCTGCTTATTTTGATTTCTGAAGTGGAGGCATACATTATATCTTGGCACTGGAATAATAAGTATGTTTTTATTCTTTTGTATGTGGGCCACAAAATTATTTCCCTCCACCTCTTTCATCTTTCTATCAAAACGCCTTGCCTCAGCTCATTCAGATGATGACAGGAAACCATCTCAATGCCCCCCCCAAAAAAGAAAAAAAATCATCTGCATAATGAGACTGAAAAGCAGCAGAAGCGGTGGCGGTAGCAGAGAAATTAATCCCACAGCAGAAACTCTGAAATATCTGTCCTCAGCCAGATTCTCATGGGCAGCAATCTCCATGGTACCAAGCCCATTAGCGAAGGCTGCTAAAAAACTAAAGTGGCACTGTCGTGGTGGCTGGAGAGAGATGCAGGAAAAGATGGAGAGACTTTCAAAGTGCTGTCAGAGGGAAGGAGTGCAGTTAGACAGCCTCGTGTTAGAGGTGAGAGTCCGTGCTCCTGAACGCCGAGACTCACTTCTTCATATCGCCAGGAGCTCTGCTGTCTGTCTACTTCAATTAAAGATCTGGGCATCCCTCTGTAGACTCCACCAGTGCTCATAATAAACAAAGTGTGTTTGTGCGTCTCCTGCTGTAGCTACAATCACAAGACTGTCGGAGTCCTGAGAAGTAGACAGCACTGTGTGGACATTTTAGTTTTTTGTTTGTTTGTTTTTCTTTTGGGGGGGGGGGGGTGTAATTCATCTTACACTCCAAGAAATAATCCTCTCTACATTCATTTACCTTTTGGATGGTTGGAATTGGAAAGGTTGTTGATGTGAAAACAACATGTAAATTACCACAGTGAGCTGCATCCAGAGTATATACAGGGCATCCACAGCATTAGGACAAACTCAGGCCTCGGTCACACACACCTGTTCAGAAAAATGGTATCCCCTGATTGGTTGGAGAGTGGTTGCTGGGCATTGCTAGGTGAAATTGGTTGCAAACAGGTACGTGGTGCTGCGAGAAAAACTTCCTTGGAATTTGTTTGATCACTAGCAGGTTGCTGGGTTTAGCTGCAACAGTTTAGCTGGAAGATGCTGACTTGTCTGCAAACACTGGATAGTCAGGCAGTGCTTGCAGATAAGCTGATTAACCTGCAGGTGACGCAGGGCAATCACAAGGAGGTTTTTCTTAACTTGCTTTCCACCAAGGGAGGCCCCTTTAAAGTTTACATATATCTAACTGAGTCCGAGATTGATGTCTTGGGTTTTTTGCAGTTTCTCTGAGCGTTACATTGTTCCGACCTTGGTGATAAATTAGTTGGGACGTTCAGTCCTAGGAAGACTGGCAGCTGTCCTGATGTTTTCCACTCATGAACAATCCTTCTCACTGGAGAATGATGGACTTCAAATTGTTTGGAAAGAACCTTATAACCCTTTGCAGAACTGATTGGGCATCACTGCTGATGTCTGTCGTCCTCAGCATTCTGCTACCATACACCTACTTCTGCATTTTGGCTTGATTACTGTTCAATAAATGACTCTGTGTCATATGTCATGTGCTTTTGTTCATCTCAGGTTGTTTTTATTTCATTTTTAGACCTGATAAGAATTACAGATGAGTTTCATTATGTCTTTTATGACTTTGTCTGTCTATGGACAGTCCAGTACAGTCTATGGATGCAGCCTGCTTATCAAGCTAGCCAGCATTAGATCTCGTAACTAAACGTGTAACGGTGTAAACTTCTGTTTTTTATGTGCAGTCTTTTTAGGGTTTTATGAGGACTGACTCACTGTAGGTTGGTACTGTATACCAGCTAAATTTTTCAGACCCTAAAAATGCCATTTACTGGAGAATGACCATTTTTGGTGGTACAAATCAGTGCAAATATAAGCCTTAATTATAAGCCTTATAAGCCTTAATTATTAATGAAAAATAAAAGTGTGATTTCATTGTAAATACATGCTGTATATCTTCTGCAGTGTGGGAGCACTCACCTCATCCAAACAGCGTTCGTACTGCTTCCTCTGGTTATCGTTTTCCATCGACAGAGCCGAGTTTTCTGCCTGCAGACACAAAACGCACGCATGCAAACTGCATTAATAATTTCTGAACGCACTCATATAAATAAGAAAATAAACAAAAATATGTAGGATAGAAAATGTGATTAATTATAGAACTATGAGAAACGTTAAAGGTCTTGATGCTGTTTTCTCTGGATGGAGGTGAGTTGTCCATCTAGACAGTACTCTCCCTGAAGCACTTGGATTTGTTGGTTTCACTGGAGAGAGATGGTCGTAAATGAACGATGCCTTAAATTTCAGGCATCCCAACTTAATCCTGCAGACCCTCACTGTGTCTGCGAGGCTGACCTGAGGTACCTCAGCTATAATTCAATTACTGACAGAGGTTCAGGCCCGACACAATTCTGGGAACTCAGCGGGCGACTTTCTACACAAGTGATTATTCTCGTAAATCTGAAAGGCCAGGCCACCTGAGCTGGCTTGTTTTCACTTAGTGTTGTGGGCAACTCCTCGGAACAACAAGTTCACAGAAGATCACAGAAATGGCTGATCACAGGAATGAACAGAGTTCAAAGAAGAACTCGCCCCACACAGATCAACACCACCTGTATCCCTGTGCAGCAGGCAGAGGTAAACAACACAGTATTTCAGCAGCTGAAATGATGCTGATTACTGGCTTCAGGCGTGAGGAAACGGTTTACTTGACTCTTAAAATGAGAACTTTGGAGATTTAAATGTGGGTTAGGTAGCTTTGTCATGTTTTAAACCCTCATTTTCTATTGAAGTCTGAACTGACTAACTTAATAAATAAGACATCCCCCGACTCTTTTGGAAGAGGACTGAGGTCACATTGACCTTTTGTCCTTCACATAGACTGTTAGAGGGATCTGTGACTTTCTGCTCCAAGTGCCTAAATTCCCCGTTTGGTTAAAGCATCTACAGGAAGCCACGCCGGCTAAAGTCAACTTAGAAATGAAGTCCACCCGTCAGACTCGCTGGTCACACCTGGTTTAAAGAACAAGATGGCGATGGACAAAACATCATGAAGCTTCATAACCACTGAGTGGCATCTTTCATACTGTCTATGAATCCTAGCTAGCCAGCTCTAACTTAGCATCTGTCTGGCATTGGCTGCTGTGTCTTGTGCAGCTTGGCTGTGTCAGTGTGTGTCTTTGTCCTGTCTTCCTCCTCTCGCTCCTAACTGGTCACAGCAGTTGGCCACCCCTCCCTGAGCCTGGTTCATCCAGAGCTTTCTTCCTGTTAAAAGGGAGTTTTTCCTTCCCACTGTCCCCAAGTGCTTGCTCATAGAGGGTCATTTGATTGTTGGAGTTTGCTCTATCTTATTGAAGGTTTTTTTTTATATATAATGCAAAGCACCTTGAGATAAAATAGATAAGATAAGATACCTTTATTAGTCCCACGAGTGGGAAATTTCATGTCTGGGCAACTGGGCAACTGTTATTGTGATTTGGCACTATATAAATGAACTGAACTGGACTGAATTGTCATTATACTGATACTTGTGTAAAGTGTAGAAGTAAATTTAAATCTAATTTGATATACAAAGAGGTGTTTACAAAGGTTATAAAGCTAGTTATGTAGCTATTTGGTGGTTACGTGTTTTGATATTTACATGTTTACATGTTTGAATGTTTAGACATGCAGGAAGTGTGGGTTGTTGTTGCTGTGTGCTGAGAGTAACGCGGCTGCTAAAAAGTTATCCGTCTCCATCTTGCTGTTCCTAATTATTCAGAGAGATTCCGAACCATCTAGTGAACCCTCACGTTACACTTGCATGAAGTATATCTGCTGGTATCGCAGTACATACAGTCCTATGCATGTCTTATAGTGTTTGCAAATACAAGCTGTGCGTTTGTGCGTGTGCAAGTTCTGGTACTGTACTTTGAGTCTTTCAGCCTGTTATGTTATGAGTTCACACTTGCTCTTGCAGTTGCATTACACCATCTTTACAAATGAGCCTGATGGATTAATGTGTCAATGTGTAGATTGCAAGTAAAAAAAAAAAGTTTATAGGTGTCAATCAATCTGGCTTGAAATAAATTGTTTTTGCATCTGCGAAACATATTAAACCCCCACAAAGTGATCCTGCATGTACAGATAAATCACTTGCAAAGCTGTAAATGTTTGGCAGCGCGCTTACAGTCGGGCTCCCTCGTCCTTGTTTGTGCACCGTTAACTTGTTCGATCTGCAGAAACCATCACATCAATCAGTGTTTCAGACTTAACTGTCAACTTTCATTGAAAACTCAGACTTGGTGGAGGAGCTGAGCAGTTCAGCAGTTCCCCTCAGTTAGAAGAAAGTCGATTCACTCTGTTTTTATTATTTATATTCTCACTTTTTGGAGGTTTTCAAAGCAAATATTTTACTTTCTGTGGCGGACTATGTGGAAGGTGCCCAAGTGTGCCATAATGACTGGAAAGTAGTTTGAACCTAAATTGAAAACTCTCTAATGTGCATCTCTCTCTCACTCTTCAGTTTGACATTAAAGTTTAATTACAATGTGGATAAAATAAAGGCAGCCACCATGAAGAAGCAACAGCGTGAAAGCCACAAAAACACACTCCGAATCATTCATTTAGGGTCATCAGAGTAGGCAGGAAAATTGATGCAATTTAAGGTGTTCTTTTATTTTAAAAAACCATCATTAATGACAAACTCGTTATACAGGCTTTGACCAGGTTATTACCAAGGAAAATTAACTTTCACTAAAATATCACTGCAAATCATGCATGGACTGATGCCGGAAATCACTAAACTCATGCTGGATGCAAAATTAGACACACATACTGTACAGTGCTATGAAAAAGTATCCACCAGCATCCTGACTTCTTATTCTTTTGCATATTTGTCACACTTACATGTTTCAGATCACCAAACAAATGTTTATGCCATGCAAAGATTACTTGACTTAATAAAGAAAGCAGTTTAATTTGTTAAAGGAAATAAATTATCCAAACTGTGTGAAAAAGTAATCGCCCCCCTTGTTGGCCTCTATTAGCTGGTTGGGGCACCCTTGGGAGCAAAAACTGTAATCAAGCATTTAATATAACTGGCAACAAGTCTTTCACATCACTGTGGAGGAATTTTTTGCCTGATCTTCTTTGCAGAATTGTTTTTATTTCAGCCTCGACCTACATCTGAGGTTTTTCAAGCTCAATTCTTATTTACCTCCAGGGTTTGACTTGGCCACTCAAATTTTGGTTTCAGGCAGACTTCCTGTTTTGCCTTGTTTAGGCTAAGAGCAGCTGAGCTTCAAGGCAGGAATTTATGGCTGGACGTTCTCCTTCAGAAGAATCATGAATTCAGTAAAAGGCAGAATTCATGGTTCCATCAATTACGGCAAGTCATCCTGAAGCAGCAAAGCAGCCGCAGACCATTACACTACCGCCACCATGTCTGACTGCTGGTATGAGGTTTGAGTCCCATTACAATCCAGATGTAATGGGACTCAAACCTTCCAAAAAGTTAAGCTTTTTCTTGTCAGTCCACAGAATATTTTCTGAAAGTCTTTGGGATCATCAGGATGGTTTTTCCCAAATGTGAGATGAGCCTTTGTGTTATTTATGGTCAGCAGTGATTTTTGTCTTGAACTCTCCCATGGATTCCATTTTTGCAGAGTCTCTTTCTTATTGTTGAATCATGAATTCTGACCTTAACTGAGACATGATAAACCTATGGTTCTTTAATGTTGTTCTGGGTTCTTTTGTGACCTTGACCTCCTGACTCGTTGATGTGCTCTTGGAATAATTTTAGTCAGCCAGTTACTCCTGTGGCCACTTCACCACCAGTCCAAGTTTTCTTCATTTGTAGATAATGGCTCCCACCGTAGTGCAACGGAATCCAACGACTAAGAAATGGTTTTATAACCCTTACCATACTGATAGATGTGTTGCTTTTTCAGATCTTTTTGCCTACTTCAATTTGTCAGACAGCTTCTGTTTAAGTCATTTCTTGATACAACAGGTTTAAAAAAAATTTAAAACTTTGAAAACTGTTAAATTTTAAAAAAGAAAGAAATGTATGATCAGTAACCCCATTAAAAAGAAGAATTTGTATCCCTGAAGCAGCAGCAGATTAAATTTCATGAGTATTTCATGGACTGCTGTGAGACTGTGTTGAACAGCCAACAGAACAACACAAGCAAAGCCGAGTGAATTCACTCTTTTTTTCTCTGTTTTTTTTCTGTGAGGCTTTTCAGTGGATAGAAGCTCCATCAATAATGGCTGCCCGAGATCTCAGCAGATGGCGAGTCCTATGACCTATTCAGCAGGGAAGATGTAACGGGGGTGGGGGGGTGGGGGTGCATACTGTACATTCACTGGAACACTGACTCCAAATGTTAACTACCCTGGCAGCCTTTTAATTATCACCTCCTGGATATGAATAACTCCTTTGTCTTCTGCAGTTTCTGTGCCCTTAGGACCGCGCTTCAACATAATAGAGCCTCTTTTGTTGTCCTATTCAAAGATGGACAGAGGCCTTACAAAACACGATGTGTGTGCTTGTTTTTCTTCTGCTTTGCTCACTGTTTAAAAAAATGAAAGCACCATACAGACTTGGATGCTCTGAGCAACATATAATGGCTGTTAATTATCATTTGCAAGCAATTCAATTTACCCCCTAACATCCACCAGGTTACTGGCAAACCATGTAGGGGTAGGGTTATGCCTGCACATTGTCCACATGCTAAAAAAGCATAGTTTCAGAAACTAGAAGATTTATGTGTTAATTTAAAGTCTTGTACATGCCATTGGACAACAACATTTCCTTCTGAATATGCAAAATAACTGAAAATGCCATACAAAAATGTGACCCTAAATCTAAATCTGAACAGGTAACATGTAACCTAGTTAATGTAGGGTTCCCATGGGTCATTAAAAAGTCTTAAATTTTGAAATGAAAGGCAATTTTTAAATAGGTTTTAAATTGGTTAAAAATATTGCTACCGACTATAATTTCTATATTTTAGTAAATCCGTATCAAATAAATTTATTTTAGGGTGTAATTACATGGTCTGTAACACTAGGGGGTGCTATACTACTAAAATAGTTCTACTATTACACAATAACCCAGTCGCACTAGAGTAAAAATAGGATGGCAACGACCCTACGACTAGGAAAACTAGATGGTTGATAGTTCAGCACGCTCAAACTCATCATTCTATTACAAGGTGATAGCAAGTTTGCTGGGCTCCCACACTGCAGCAGATTTGTCACTATCGGGAAGAATCTGTGGTTCTGGCTGTAAGTAGTGATTTTATATTTAATGGTAATTTCTTTGGATGTAATTGGACAACAGATTTGCAAAAGATGAAAACAGATAAGTGACAGATAACTGACCAATTTTTCACAGTTAATAATTTATTATCACAAACAAATTGCATGTAATTGCCAGCCTGACAGAACGAACGCATCTTATTGCCATTCGGACTCACCAAAGTCACTGTGAAGATGGCGGCTGACTGTGACTGGTTGCAATACTGGTCTTGTCTTCAAAGCAGCCATTTCAGAGGCAATGAGATTGCAGCTTTTGTAATTCTGGTTGTGCTTCAATTTCCAACCACTGTTTCATCTCGTTTTTATCTGTGAAAACCGCTATTGGTAAAACTCTGGATTTTCTAAAGATCAACAAAACTATTATTTATAACACAAGAAAACCAACGATGCCACTTTTGTCTTTAACTTTATTTATCAGCAGTGCTCATACAAGGACTTAAAAACCTTCAACAATCACAGAGAAACTGAACTGTTTCCATTATTGTCCACAGGCTCTGTGGTGTCCCACATAATGACCCACCCAAATGGTTTACAAGACCTAGTTTTAATTGTTTTCAATTAACTATGCACCACCCATCAAATTTAACTTCTTCAGTTCCAGCTGAATATATATAGCACATATATAAATGTGACTTACCTACCAAAATAAAAAAATGTAGTGCCAGTATCAAATGGCTTTCCTAAAACAGGAAAATAAGATGACCAAATGCTAATTTTAGGGCCAGCAGCTGCTGGGTATGACAGAAACCCTGCTGACAATTACTGAAAATCCTAAATTAAAGTGACTTTTTCACATTACTTGTGTTTTCTGCCCAGAAGTCAGAAATCCAAAGAAATTAACTTCAGTGTCATGTGAATCTCGTGGTTGCTTTGTTTTATGTTCTATATAATTTAAAGGAGAAATGGATCTGGGTTCTTATGGCGTAAGGTCTTAAGAAGCATTGCTTTCGTTTTCTTTTAATAATGGTGCAGGAACTCTGTGTTAAGAGGCTGACTTGAATAACATAGACATTTAAAAACTATGTGTTTAATGCTCCCTGCTTCTGGGAGATTTGAGCTTTTCCTCCGATTTCTTTAATAATGTAAAGCACCCTAGGCTTCGGCTAACACTTTTACATTTCATCACCACATAATGTTGTCTGACACCTTGTGAATGGCATCTTGAAGCTATAACAGCACAATCTGCTTACCTGCTGTTGACCTCACTGTTTTTGAGAGTGGGAAAAACTAACACATAGTTTATATTCTTAACCGGTCACGGTGAAAGCATTAGGGGTGGCCTAAAACCACATAATTTTGCAACCATTAACACCTACTCAATAACCCTTCCTACATAAAGATACAGCAGTCAGAGTTATGTTCATCCAATGCCACCTGTTTATTTCTAACCATCAAATGTAATATGTTTAATTAAACATATTTCTCAGTCTGACATGGTGAAAGTGAAAAGTTGTGGACGAAGCCTAAGAACTGGACCGTGCAATCCACTTTATTACCTCGAGCGCTCTGAGCCGCTCCAACAGGGGATTGCTGTCCTTTGAATTGTCCTCTAAACCGCCGTTGCCACCACCGGCCTCGGGCGAGGTGGACATCTCTGTTGTTGGTGTGGCAGATGTGGGACCCTCCAGACTGTCCTGTTGCTTCCACATTTCCTCCAGGAGTTTGTCCTGGAAAGCAGAGAGCATATCAAACATGCATGCCTTGGAGTCACAAAGAGATGAAAACTAAATGCTCCATATTCCATAAAGCTCCAGTTATAAGAGCAATAAATCTTGATGAGCTGCACACCAAGAGCTGCAGCCACTGCATAAATACAGCTGCTCTGCTTCACTTCAAAGATTTATTAAACTTCTATTATTTATGCTAAAATGTGCCAGCTATGGCTCTAGGCTACTGGATTATGTAGACATTAAAAAGAAGAGGCTCCAAAATGGAGTCTTGGGGAACTCCATACCATTTATCTACACTTAAATTAGACCCACTGTGCTTTTTCCTTTTTGATTGTCTCATATTACCTGTAACTGGGATGGATTTTCATATTAAACATGGCTGAGGTTTAAAATAATAAGGTCAAAGAATGTAGACGTAATCCCTGTGAGACAAAAGCTCAGATGGCACACTGCTCTAAACATTCAGTTTCACACATTTTTTTTCCAATCTTGGCTCTCTATGATGTCATAGAGATGAGATATCTCTATTATGATCATTTAAGGCACACAGCTTTGGCTATGGGCACAGAAACCCCACCCACATATTGTTTGCGAGTGGGAGCCAATAAGAATAAAGTTGGCATAAAGGGGGAGGGGCTATAATGTTTTGTCTGTACTCGTACACATGTATTTTGGCACTTTTTCTGTGTGCTGTGGACTTTTGTCGACACATGAACGGCATTTTGGACACTGAAAACTGAGCTTTTCACAAACTCCTGCCACAGTGAAGATTTTCAAAGACTCAGTTTCTGCGTTTAGACACGAACAAAGTCAGCATCAAAGGTGTGCACCTTTGGGATGCTAGTTTAGCTCAGTGGGTGAGCAGGTATGCCACATGACCACAGTTTGTGCCTTCCATCTCTCTCTCCACTTTCTTCACCACAAATGTGCCCCTAAAAAATAGTCTCCAAAAAAAAGGGCTTTTATCTCCTCTTTTCATGTCAGAATGTGTTATTGTATGTGGACTGGACTGGTCAACGTTTCTTCAAGGTTAGAGTTATATTACCTCCTGTTGCTTTGACATGCTCTTGACAACACTTAAGATGGTTTTTCTGTTTTACTATTTTATTATTATTATGGTATGAATCAGAATACTTTATCGATCCCAGAGAAAATTATGTAATGTAAGGATTATTCTGAACTGTGAATCATGCAAAGCTACTCTAGGAAAGTCAGGAATAAGAACATGTTAGTAGTAAACAGTCCCTATTCTTTAGATGGTATTAGAACAGATTTAGCAGTGAAATAAGTAGCACTTAGCCTTTTTCCCAGTCATGGGTCAAACATAGTCTTAGACTAAATGAAAACTTTCAATTAAACTTCAACTGGGAAAAGTATTTAGTCTGAGATTAGTGATAATCCATGTCAGAGAAAATAATTCCCACACTTTCAGTGGATATAAGTTAAGACCTTAAAAAGAGCTGAGCTGCCTCTGTGATGTTCTCATCATTTTACTGATACTCAGTTACAGAGTAAATGGAGTTTACAACATAGAGTATAAAAGTACTGTATGTAGATGTTTGGAGACAGTGGCAGGAAGCAGAGCTGAAGATGCTCAGACTTTCACTGGGATTGACCAGGATGGACAAGTTTGAAATAGATACATCAGAGAGACTCTTTGGTTTTGAGGATTTGGAAACAAAGTTAGAGAGTCAAAGCTGAGATGGTTTGTAGACGTGCAGAGGAGGGATAAAGGATATACTGAACAAAGGATGTTGAATATGGGTCTGACAGGGAGGAGGAAAAGAGGAAGACCTCAGAGGAGGTTCATGGATGTAGTGAAGGAGGGCATGCAGGGGATGCTGTGACACAAAAAGATCCTAGAAATACTGTGGTGACTACTAAAGTGAGCGCTGAGAGAAGAAGATAACATACAATACATGGAGTATATGTAGCAGTGTAGGACATCCTTTTCTTTTTCCCATCACTGTTTTGGTTGATACACACAGTTCAAGCAATCTAAGCTTCATGCATTTTGCACTCTAATGTGTTTTTTGGAGCGTCACTCATAGATGATAAACTGCCTGCACATGAGGCTGGCCCTCAATACAATGATGCATCATCTTTCACTTTGCATTATTAGTATAAAACTGCAGAATACAAACATTAAAAAAAGCTTTGACTCAAACAGGAGAAGATGGATCGAAGTATGAAAAGGACAAGATGGATAACGCTGAGATTCCTAATTATGAGACTTGTTTGCATTTGCTATACGGTTCATTAGCTCCTGTGATTTGCACATTTAGCCACACCAACATTACTCATAAACAACATCAAAGCTGAAGATCTGGAGCATGTGTGACTCTGTGTTCCCACAACACAATAAAATTATTGCATTGTGGCAACTTGGATCTATCTGGAGACACAACGCAGACCCCCGCAAGCTAAACTATTGCATCATTATTGGTAGTACCATAAACACGATATTTTTTCATAAACATAAATATCTAAAAAGACTTAAAAGACTGTGTGGAAAAAGTATTTTAAATGTATTCATTGATCCCTAGTCATATGCAGTTGCATGGATGGATATTCCCATGCGTACAGCAGGTTTTAAAACTATGCATCATCCCAGCAAAGTGTCCATTATTATATATATATTTTAATACTCCAGCAAGCACATGAAAATGAACCACATCAACCACCCACTTCTACACAAAGCATAAATGTATTATAAACTTGATTAAAAACAAAAAAGGAATTTTAAAGTGAGATCAATAGTGTATCTAAAAGTAAATCACCCCGTGTATTTCATCTATATAGTAAATGAAAAATATCATCTGTTAATTTATTTTCTTGTTAGAGTTCAAGACATTATTGCAAATAATGTTTTAATTTGTCTGTTTCACATTATTTCAGATTTTTCTGAAACTTCCATACCCGAAAGAAAGAACTTGTGACTGAAAGTGTGTTGGTACCTTGTATGCTTTCATTAGGTCCAGTGGGTCCACTTTGGGCCCTTCCAGTGAGTCCTGGTTCTGTAGTAGCGTTCGCACCGTCTCCTCCATGCTGTGATTAGGAAGAAAACAAACCTGTTAAAATATAATCTTCTTAATGAGAGATAAATTAATTGCAATTAAGTGTTGCAGGACATATAAAAGGCTAATTATTATTGTGGATAATTTATATTTTAGAATACATTTTAACCATAGACATTTTATGGCACAGCTGCTGCTCCTCCACATCAATTTGAGCCAGCTGAAGTGGTTCAAGCGCCGCCCGGAACCCCCCAGCCCTCATCCTGGAGGAGACCCAGTGAAAACTAGAGAGATTATACCTCTATGGCTCTCAATTGACTTGGTTTCTTTCCAGAAGTGCTCAAGGAGGCTGCTGAACAGAGGGAGTAAGGTTATATCCCTGCTAGCAGCTCTGTGAAACTCATGACTTAAAATCTAATCTCAGTTTAATGGGAAATAGTTTTTACATCTTGTTCCCTATTACCATTTTCTATGTTATCCTGCTATCACTGGTTAGAATCAGGGAGCATTGGCCTCTGTGGGCAACTCAGTCTCTGCAGTGCTGTTAAAAAAAACCCCTAACTTCTCTGAGATATACATGAGGTGCATTTTGGTGTCTGGGATACAGCTAGACTTTTCAGCCGCTGACACCAAATACCATTTGTTGTGGTGTTTTACATTTTTCACACATGATCGCCAAAAAAGGGCCTAAAGTTTCCCTTTCTCACATGTAGCACAGAGCAGGAAACGCTTCAGACTCTTCTCACAACTGGAAATACTGGACACGGGCACAGGCGGCAACATTATTGATGCCCACCTAAGCCTGCACCTTTCTCACAATGGGGACATGCGTAGAAAAATCCAAGACCCTGGTGAAAGGTTAGGTTTAAGCCTCAAAAATACTTGTTTAGGTTCAGGAAAACATGAAGGTTTAGTTTAAAATGCACAATTTTGCAACATTAACCTCTTCATGTTGAAAAATTGCACTACTCTGAATCAACTGCATTTACATGTGACAACAAGAATTCCTAACCAAGCATCCATTTCATCTAAGTCATTGAACCCACTCCAGGCAGTGGATTAACCAATAAGACAACTGTTTAGTAACCAAAATTTTCTTAACACATCTCACAGAAACTTGAAGGAAAGTCAGAGACTGATCACTGGATTCATCATCTGGGTACCAGGAAAACTTTAAAAGAACCCAACTGGACCAAAGTGATGGGCCACCTCACTGACAGTAAATGGTAAATGGACTGGTTCTTATATAGTACTGTTAAATTTTACTGGAGTGCTCTAAGCATTCACACCCATTCATTCCAGCAGTGTTTTTCTGTCTTTTCTATGTGCTTTCTAGCTAATATTCACACAAGGCTTAGTGTCTTGCCCAAGTATACTTTGGCATTCAGACTGGAGCAGCTGTGGATCAAACAACCAATCTTAATCTCTGATTATTAGATGACCTGCTGTACCCCTTAACTCATAATGCCAATACAGCTTATAAAAACAATTTCATTAACACATTTCGGAGACAGACATACTGGAAAAATATAGTTGTTATAACTTTTTGTTCATTCATATATTAAAACTAACCTCAGACTAAGACTCCATCCTCTGTTTAAATTTTGATAATGGGGTTACACCTTAACATTTGGGTCACTGACCAAATTCTCCTTAATCTAAAAGTTAATGATAAGGCAGATAGCGAGTAGAGACATTAACATGTCTGCAATACAATGTAACTTTTCCAGGCTGCTGGACACAGTAATGAAGTTCACTAATTGGAAGCAAAGGTGTAGAACAGGGAATATGAAGCTGTTACCAGTTGATCTTTAATAGAACATCTCCACACTTTATAATTTATATGTTGGCTGCATGAGAATTTGACATAAGTTGCATAAGCTGCCACTGAGAGGACAGTTTTCCACAACTAATAACAAGACATAATTTTTTAGGTCCTCTACAATATAACATGATGTTAACTTCAAAAAACACAAAAAAAAAGAGAGTATGTTATTAGGGCGTTGCTACACAGTTGTAAACACAATTAGTCATTAGGTTTTTCCACTTAGCATTAGCTACTAACTTTCCATTGCAACGCTAGTGACCAATTATGGTTCCATCAATCTTGAAAAAAACAACAAAAAAAAACACAAGATTGTGCTACAATATAGATTTTCTGCATAATGGATTTTGTTTCCCCCTGTTAATTAAGGTAGATATCCAGCACTTGCATTAGCTACTCTCTCAAATGTCTGCTAATTCCTCTTAAAAAAAACGCTACTATATACAGTTGTTTCCTGATTAAAAAATAAATGTCAGATAGCATGTCTTTTGGATTAGTTAATTTTCTTTCCACTTGTTTTTTCTCTTGTTATTTGCTACAGTAACTTTATCTAGCAACACCTCAGTGGTACCCTCTTATACAAATACAGTCCTGTCCATCTAAAAATGAAAAACTAAAGCATACTCTAAAGAGTTGGTGTATTAGCAAGCAGCAATAGCTTTGGCTACTGACTTCCTGGTCCATCTTGTCCTATCAGTCATCAGTACTATCCACAGTCAAAGTAAAAAAAAAGGGGGGCACTTGAAGGAATCATTTGTCCTAATTAGCACATTTTGTTTTAAGTCTGTTTTTCTAGCCAAGATGAGCATCCGAGCTAATATGACACGTGAGCAAAGAGGCTAATGCTAGCGAACACTAATCCCTAGCTAAAGCCTTGCTCTACTCTCTACCTCCACTTTGTCTTCCTCTCAGTAACAGAAGGAGCTACCTAGCACCAGCCTAAGACAATAACACCCATCTGTTAGGATAGACCTTGATGACTAACCCAGTAGGAGCCTTGACTATCAAGCTCCACACGATTCTACATAGAGCTAATATGGCGCTGACCAAAAGGCTGAGGCTTCAGAAACAGGAATCTACATACCAATGGGTAAAATCTTTTACATTACCGGTATGTTTTTTATTTTAGATGAAGTGACATATCTTATCTTCTATCTTATCTTATATCTGGTGGTGTAGCTGTTTTACAAAACTCACTAGTTTGGGGAAAACAAAGGGTCTTAAAGAGCTTTTTGGCTGGTAGCAGCTGACTCATGTGAATCATGAGAGTATCCACAGGCAAGACAAATTAACAATCAATTACTGATTTTCTTTAATGTTTGATTTTATTTCAAGCCATCCATAAAAGCGCTGCTGACATTTCTTCAAAGGGCTTCAGCTATATTTGTGTAGCTTTTGACTGTTATTTTTGTAATTATTTTCCCCTGGAGCTATGTATGCTTGATGGACGCTGACCATGCCTCCGTAATGTCGTATGCAGTGACATTTTGCCCTGTCACTTCCAGGCCAGCCTTTCCCTCTGTTAGATGTGTGCGGCACAGCCATTAGCGCCGGCTGCCGACTGTGAGCACTTCATTGGCATTGCTCTCTTCAGTCACTGCCACTGACCTGAAACAAGCTCAGCTAAAATGAAAACAGCGGGTGGGATGGTGGTGGGAGGGGATGATACTGAATTCGAGCAATCTTTGAGTTTAAAGCCCAGAAAAATGCATTTTGATCTGGATACATGCGGTCTGAGAGGCCAGATGTAAAATGCAGATTCCACTGTATGTTGCTCAACAGCTTCAGCAGACCATCAGTGCTGTAAAGTGTTGGGGGTTAAAATCCTGCCGGTACTACCCACACTGCACTTGTGGTGCTTTAAGTGAAGCACTTTGGATCTTACTGCATCCACCAAATGGAAAATTCAATGAAACATTAAATTCATGAACAACCACACGATGAATGCTCTCTGCAAAATCGACCGTGCTATGAAGCTAAACGCTGCAGTTTGAATGAGTTTGTATAATGATACATGATTATTCTTTTAAAACAAATGGAGTGCTTTTGCTAGGACATCTTATATATATGTACGGTAGTGACTTCCTGGTCATACACGAGTACATTCTGAGGAAGAAATTATTTTTTTACTTTGACATTTTGACAATTATAGATAGTCAGCTAATTCTTTTCACAAAGATATACTGATGTCCTTTGACTATGATTAAACTTAAAGTTCATATTTAAGGAGAAATAAAGTTCAGATCATGTTTCCTAGGGGCTTGTCGATTGGGAAAGACTGGGACTGTTGTGGAGGGTCACACAAATAAGCTAAACTCAGCCTTCCACAACAGTCCCAGTCTGTCATGTGACCACTTAGGAAAATTAATAATCTTCCTGAAACTTGGCTTGTGGACTTGTGTATAAAAGATGGATGAAGATGTCATCCTTTGGTGCTTTTGGACTCGGTATGCTGTCCTGTCAACAGGTTAGTTTTTATCTTTCTTAATGGAACTTTTTATAACTGTAATGAGACACTTTTGTGTTATATATTTACATTTTTTATGTGTATTTATTTGAGTTTATTTGAGCTTTTCTTTACTTTTAAGATATTTTCTTAGTGTTTGTGTTTACATCTTTAGTCGCTTTAACACAGGAATTTCCCAAATTTATCTTATCTTCCATTGATTTTCTATGACTTTTCCATTTCATGGAACTGGCGCCTTTGCCAGCTGTCATAGGGCAAGAGGTTGCCAGTCTGTCACTGGCTTGTCAAGGCTCCAGTATTTTCTGTTTTGGTTTATCTTACATTTAAAAGTGACATAAAATTATACTGGTGACTTATCCAGTTATAACTTCACATCTTTAGGACTTATGGCTTAGTTACAGTACTGCCAGATGTTATGTAGACCGAAATTCATATGCTATGTTTGCTAAGGGTTATTTCACGTATTGGCTTGGCCAGGTATGGCTCAAATATTCCCACACACCTAATATCTAACTGGCAGACTCGTACTGAGTCAGTGCCAGAACATGTGGGTCACACTTGGGCCAGAAAGACATGGTTATAAAGGCATAATCCAATTGTCATAAGACTACATCTGCTCCTCACGAGGTCCACCTGATTCCCATCAAAATTCATGTTGTTTTTACTGCCTCCACTTTCTTCCCAATCGGTCCTCCCTCACGCCACGCTGCATTCCGACTGACCGCTGGTCATTTGAAATGAGGCTAGCTGCACGAGTCATCAGTCCATCGCTGAAGGGAAAGTGGGTCTAAGGATCTCTCTGTGGGCCGTGTTCAAAATATATAATGTGCAGCTGAGTGCTCTCAAAAAAACAAGCACTCGCCCTGTCTGGCTCTGTCATAACGAGCTCTCGTAAATGCCACGCCATCGCAGACTCATCGCTGAGACATCTGACTGTCCAGCAGACCTCATTTCAGAGCTGCTGCCCACCGAGCTCAGGAAACAGGATTGGATTCCTTAAATATATTACTCTGTTTTATTTTCCTGTTTTGTCTTTTCACTCCCAGTCCCTCCGTTTTAAACTGTAGTCAGGGTTGGATTGTTACACTGGATAGACCTTTTCTTTGACAGGAGTCAGTCCATACACCAGAAAGAAGCTCTGGTTTCATTCAGCAGCTGTCGAGGTAGCTGTCCTCACAATCAGCTCCTAAAGAATTTCATTACTCTCGATTTCAGACGTATAATACACCGACTCCTCCTGATGATTACCTCTACAAATCAATCCACAACAGTCACACATAGCATAACAATGAAATACGACCTCTGCATAATAAAAGCCTCAATATCTTTGCCTATTTATTACAGCTGCATTCTTTTGAAATGGCTGATACAAATGCGGTGCTCATTGTTTTGTTGTCTGTTGAAGATGACTGCATAATAAAAGAGTTCAGCAGAAGACCTATAAGGCTTTTCAATTATCATTTGGATTTAAAGTAGCAAGCCCATATTTACTGGGGGTACAAAGGTCAGAAATTATTGTGACATCAGATAAATTATCAGACTTAAGCTGCTGTCAAGAGACAGAAATTATTCTGAGAGTTTGAACTGTGCAGAGATTATAATTGTTACACTTCAAAAGATGCTGTGATGTCACCGATTGGTTGTAAAGTTGTCTTCTGGGGCTTCAATTTTAGACCAAGGGTGAATTAGGCAGTAGTGAGGCTCTACTCTTCAGCACGATGCATGATGCAGTGCTTGGATAGTGACCATTAGTCGTACAACACTTTTCAGAATGTATTATGGAATGCTCTTGGGATGGATGGATATTTGACTACTTATCTAGGAAGAATTGGAAGAATCCATTTAAACTGGTTAGTTTCCTAACACAGTCTACAGATTTCCAACAGGGTTGAGATCAAGGATTTGGGAAGGTTATTCCAGAAGCTAAACATTAGCCTGCTTTATCCATTCCAAAACCAGGTTGATGTGTGTTATGTGTGTTTGGAATCATTGTCCATTGATTCCTTTTGAAATCATTGGAACACCCAGTTGTGTCCAAGATTCAACTCCAGCTACTGATTGGAGGTGAAGTTTGTGCAATGTGCCAGTACCACGTGGAGGATATTGACCAATGCCATGAGGATGCCATGCTAAGTTATTAGCTAATGCTAAAAACAAGAACTTGCTTAGCAACTGTGTGTGACAGTAGTAGTAATTATAGGTAAGCCATATTATTTGTTATTTAATGCCCTTAAAAATCATCCAAACCAGCCAACATGAGAGTACGAAAAACAAAGCAGCTATAGGTGCCTACCTGTGGGTCAAAACAGCCGCGCCCTTAAATTTAAAACATGTTATCGAACACTTAGTCCTTGTACAGTTGTCATAAAAGCGTGAAACTGTCCATAGGCACCAAAATGTTTTCGTCTCAGGTTGTAAACATGTTTATTCTTTCTGTAAAGTTGGACATTTTAAAACGGGGTTCTATGGGGACTGACTCACTGGGCAGTAGAAGAACTGCAGTTTTTGGTACTTGTGCTTCATTTGGCTTCATTCTACAACACCAGAAGTTTATCACTTTATAACAAAGCGTTAAGAATAATTATGGGAGTAAAAACAATCTAAAAATGTTACTTTACACATCTGGATAGATGAAATTGTCTTTTATTATTTCACCATCCACTGACACACATGTGTAGTCATGCATGTGTTTACAGTACGTGTGTCACACTGCTCCAGCAGCCGTGCAGATACTGGTCTTCAGTGACTCTTCCTTCACCCCTCAGATGATGCTGCTGCCGCTTTGTGATGTTTTGCCACAGGCTGCACTTTCCAAAGCCTGACCCTCAGCTATCACGCACAACAATGTATGAATGAATGAATGAATGAATGGCCTACATTCCCCCTTAAGTAATGACCCCTTTCCCTACTTTGGTGTAATACACTCAAGCTCACAGTCTTTATCTTCAGCTCACTGAGTTATCCTGTTAAGTGTGAGTGTGGCATCCTCTCACAGAGGCTCTGTTTGTCAGTCAGCAGCTGGATTACATCGACTACATGATGATGTGTGTGTTATTTGGCAGTTTTGATGCCATGTGAGTTGTTTTATAAAATAGGAGATATAAAAATACAGAAGAATTTAATCAAATATTAGATGGAGTGGAACTTGAAGCTAGCTTTTTTTTTCTTAACCTAATCAAGTTGTTTTGGTGCCTGAACCTTAAGGAATCCATCGGGATTGTTTCATATTATTGAAAATATTCTTCGTGAAGATGTGTGAACAATAAACTATTCTCAAAAGAAATCATCCCAGAAGATTCTGTGATTCAAACTGCTTTGAGTGAACTGCTTTGTATCTTTATGAAACATCATTTTAAAGGAGGAAAAATAAAAACTGTCCCAGCTGATGCTCAGCCAAATCATCCTGATTTGGAGTTAGCTTTTTCAGGTATTGATCGATGTACTAGCATGAAATTGAAGCTGTTTAGATATTTTGAAAATATCTCATAAAGATGTTTTTGTAAATAAAAGATGAGACTGAAAATATCCTGCAGAGCTTTAGCAGCTCAGCTTAAAGAGGCTGCAAAATTAGTGTCATGAACAGAACACTAAGAGGCAGGATTTATTTCAAAACACTGCATTGGATGAGACGTGTAACAAGATAAAAAAGACTGAATAAAGCTGTTTTTAAAACCTGACATTTAGTGAATGCTTCATTTGTTATTTTCTGATTTTAAGAATTATTTATTTCTTTTTATAATTTTTAACTGCCTGACACTTTGCTATCTATCAGGGACAGAGAGAGAGTGAAAAAATGGCTAATATCTTCTGTAATTTTCCTAAATATTGGGCAGCAGATCAAATATCTTCTGCTTGGCAGGGGAGGGAATTAACTTACGGTCACAAATATTGGAGGCCTAATCTCACACCTCGCTGAGCATATGCAGATCGAACTCGGATGACGGGGCACCGTCAGTAGCCTAACAGTTGGCTGGACATAATGCTTGGTTATTATTTCCCCTTTATCAGATGCCAGGAGGGGAGATCAATAAGTGGACATGAGTTTGAGTTTTTAGTGTGGGGCACTCCATTAAAACGGAGTAGATTCTTCTCATTTCAAAGACGACCTGCAGTGGGCTCTTACCTTAATGAAACCGCTGGACGACACCGCAAAAGCCCAGCGGTTCGTCACATCGGGCTGTGGCGAGCATTGATGGATGTGCTTTAGATTGTTTGCATCCCAACTGGACCGTTTTTTATGGGCTGTGGCCAATGGATTTTAATAAACTGAGGTATGAGGTGCGATGTTAGAGGGGAAACTTTTTGAAAAGTTGAAAAAAAACCTTCATGCAACCCTAAGTGACATACTGGCTTGTTATGTGGTGATGTAATGGCACTGAAGTAATTACATTGTAATGTAATATAATAAAGGTGTAGATGATTAATGGGTCTAATTGTCTACACCTAGCTCTGGATACTGACTGGTGGCATTTGAATGCAGCACTGTTGGTCACATGTGCAGTTCCTCTAAAAAAAAAATCTTGAAAAAACAAGCTAGCTTCTGTTAGCCAGATAAGCAGTAGGCAATATATGGATGTAATGATGTTGCTGTCAAGACCACCACATTTGGGCCTATTCAGGCCTACTTTTGGCTCTCCCAAAAGTCATGAGCCGTGCTCGATATGGGTCATGACAGCTGTTGGATGAGCCAGATGTGGTCAAAAGTATTTTCGTGGTTTCAAATTGAAGCAGTAGTGGCTCAGATGTTACAACACTTCAGATACTTAGACAATACAATGTGGAACTGTGGCTGGATTAAGACAGCCATATTTATCCTGAGTCATATCCATCCATCCATCCATCCATCACTTGTCTAAAGTCAGAAGGTGGTGGCAACAGGCTAAGCAGAGTATTCCAGACTTCTTTCTTCCATTCAAAAACTTTAGAGTTGCTCCAGGAGGATGAATACAAACAGACAAAATAAGTTTCTTCTGTAGGGTTGCTGGGCTCAGTCTTAGAGATAGGGTGAGCCTTGGAGATCCAGATGGCTCTCAGAGCAGAACTGGTGTTTCTTTGTGTCAGCTGAGGTGGTTTGGTCATCTGGTATGCGGCTGCCTCCGGGAGGAGACGCCAGAGTCAACAAATGATCAGTGATTAGTTTTTTGGGGGGCTAGATGTGGCCCAAAATGTCACATCATACCTGAAAGCTATGGCTAAGTTGAGACAGCCACATATGATATGATAGCAGATAAATTTAGGCACAGTGTGGAATACTTATGGCACTGAAAGAGCGGTTGCACTGCTAGTAAATGTTATATGAACAGCCTATGGCAGAGGCAGCTGCATTTACCATGAGTGAACACTGTCAACCAAACCCAAATGGAGCCCAAAGAAGACTGCAAAGTGGGACGTTTGGGGCAAACCATTATTGCAATCTCTGGTGAGACAGTCCCCACAAAGCCATGTCATAGTTTGTGTAGTCCATAAGCCCTCTTAGACTCTCACACAGTCTCCATACATTTTGTGCATCTCCCTCAAAAACATTCATAAACAGTCTTAGGAGAGGATGTAGTGTGAGTGCAGCGTGATGACTGTGCTACCTGGAGAAGTGTTGCTGCAGTGTCACCATCTGCCGCCCACCCAGCTGAGGCTTCGCCCTCTCCCTTCTCTCCACACCCAGATGTTGTTTGTTCTCCAGCTGGGGATTATTATCACGGATCAGTCTTGATGGCGTAGCTGCAGGGCGAAGGAGTAAACACAGTTAGCTTGTTGTTAATCTCACATACTATAATCCCACTGAACATCAACCCCCCCCCCATTTCTCCTTTGTTCAGTTTACACACTGTAGTTTTAAATTATTCATCCCTGTTTGCCCCACAGCTGATAGGTTGTGAGCAGGACTTCCTACTCATGACATTTAAAACAGGGCCTCGGGGTAATCTGTCATGTCAAACCCATGTACTGTGCATGTTGAAAAAAGAAGAAAAAAAACGTGTTGTCATGGTAGCAAAAGTTCAGGTGTTGTAAATATTATAATGACTATAATACCTCATGGCTGCTCCTTTGGGTGTTTACCTGTCTGGATGGTATTCAAATGAAAAAAAGCTGCTGGCCGGGAGAATTTAACACTTACAGTAAGCGTGGCCAATATTCGTGTCAGCAGCACTCATAGCTCTAATAAACCTGGCATAAATAAGTGGATTTCCAGTTTGTTTGTTTGTCTCGTTTTGCATCAACTTCATGGGAATTTTCCATCTAGAAAAGTTCATTTCTTCTTTAGTGTCAGTCAGTCTAAGCAGCCATATGAGGAAGCTAAGCATAATGATAACAGTTTCCAGGCTATTACAGAAATAATCAGTTTGGCTGAGTGGGTTTATTTTTATTTTTCTGCATGAGTGGAAGCCTCAAGCCACAGGTTTGGCTCACTGTGACTCACTTTACCAATCAGACTGCATCAGCAGTCCTCCACCATGCAGTGCTGCAGTGCAGAAGAGAATCCAGCAGAAGAATATGGACATGCATGAGGCATCATCGCCCTGAATATTCAGATTCACACGTTTGTTAGCATTCCAATAAAAACATGGAAGAAGAAGAGTAATGCAGGGTGTTATTAATATGTTTCTGCACATAAATGTTCATGCCTTTTTTTACCTGACCCGTGTCGTGTGCACTGATATGTGTCCATCTACATTAAATGGAGATTTTTTCACTTTTAAAGGGTGGTTTGTTAAGTTTGCTTGAATTCAATTCAGTTTTATTTATAAAGCAAAAATTCAGAAGAAAGGTCACATCAAGGTGCTTTATGTTGCAAAGTGAAGACACTAAAATATCAGAGAGGAAACATCACCAAGCAGCAGGTTTTCCTTCCTAATGAGCAGCATTTAGTGAGTGTGGGGAGGAAGAACTCCCCTTTAGCAGGAAGAGGGGAGAGGGGGGGTGAAGGGATCCTGTGCCAGGAAACCAGTGATCGAGCGAGAACAATGCCAGAAGCTCGTTGATGGCTACCAAAAGTATCTGGTCAAGGTGCAATGTGCTGAAGTTTAACCAAATATTAGTGGGCAATTATCATTTAGAGAAAATCCTACATATATTCAAAGTTGTGCACCCAATTCTCGTCTTTCAAAGTCATTAAAGATGTTTGCTGCACAATCATTCCAGCCTGGAAAAAGCCCCAAATTACTATTCATGCCCACGATGAGTGGATAAAGACTTCCGACCACAACTGTAACAAAGCAGATGTGTCGAATTGTTAAAATGGAAAAATCGAATGTGTGTTTTAGAAACACATCAAACACGTTTATCAGCTAAAGTGAGTTTGTGCTTTTCTTTTTGTAAAGTCTCAAAATGTCCTGTGTGGAAAAGATTTATACAAGCGGACAAAAGCATAAGAGCACTGCCTCCATTAAAACTGCAGACTTTTAGAGAATCAGAATGTGAGTCAAAACAGGGCCACTACAAAAGGTCAAAAAACTAATGGCTCTCCTCTAATTATTCCTCCCATTAGTGTTGTTCTTTTAAAGAATGAATTGCAGTCACAGTTTGTTTTTCCTGTAGCCAGCAGGAGCTTGTAAAATCAGAGAATAAAGATGGAGGATTTTCACTGTTTTCATACAAAGTCAGGGACAAACCCATTAAAGTATGCGAAGGAGGAACTGGTCTTAAGTGAACTAATATGACGGGACTGGTCTCTTAAAATGTTAATCAAGGTTTTTCAGGCCTTCGGGATATAAATCAGCATTTGAGGGAAACTGGCAAACATGGTGAAGTTTGACTCAAGGCTGCCATCTAGTGGTGATTGCTGAGTGGATGCGCAGCAGGATAACTGAGGTTTGAAATGTTTCAGGACATTTAGGCCAAAGACTTGAAAAAATGTTGTTGCTGAAAGAATCACATGGAGGACAACTTTCTCTTCTTTATTTTCTTAAAGAAGAATGGGAATATAAATTTCTTCTGACACAAAATCCAAAGGAAACAGTCCTAAAATCTCTTTTTGATTTACAGTTTAGCTGTTGTGATTTACTTTACATACAGTACTGCGCAAAAGTCTTGACCCATCCCTCATTTCTTTATCTTGTGCGCCCAAGTCCTCTTGAGCAACAGTTTTTCAGGTTTCAGAAGCTCTTTCAAAGATTGTTTGTTTGTTTGTTCGTTTCTTTTCTTTTTTTAGTTTCAGTTTGATTGACAACAGCTTTACAGCACAACTTTAAAATTATTGAAGCACTGTGGAATCATCCTGACAGACAACAGAATAAAAAGCTGAAACATCCAAAGAAGACCTTTGAATTTCCTTCGAGAAGCCTGGAAAACTATTCCTGAGGACTGCTCAAACATATTTCTTGTTTTTGCATATTTAAAAATATTTTTAAAAATGCGACAAAGCAGCAGAGAAAAAGTCTGACAATGAAGAATCACAGAAGTTGGTTGGGTCAGATCATGTTGATGAATGCTGTGATCTGTGCTGTGAAAAATACACCTTGAAGCTCTGCTTTATTTTATTTATTTATTTTTTTAAAAAAGCTGGACAGCACATGAGTGTTTATAATTTATACTCTTAATTAATTATGAAGGTTTTGAGGGTGCTGAGGCACCATCGTCAGGGCAACTTTATTATTCTTTGAACTGTGAAGAGCAACAGCTTCACTCCTCATGTCACAGCAGCGGGAAACACAACTGGTTCAGAGGTGCACCCTTTTTTCTTTTTACCCTGAGAAGGTCGACTGGACAGAAACGTGTGATTTAATAAACTGAGGTTACATGAGAGTGTGGAGCTTAAAATCTATATTTTTAAAACAACAGTGGAAAACAAAAAGATGGATTTGAAGCCTGTAAAAATACTTATTTTTAAAGATCAGCAGAGAGAGAAATCTTCTGCTGTCTTAATGTTTCTGAAATGTCGCGCTTTATTTTTATTTAACTATAGAATATAAATGATTTACAAGTTATTAGGTTCATTTTTTACTTGCACTTTATTCAGAAACACTTTCCCCCCTGTAGATTCTGTGTCTTGTGATACTGTAATAATTCTAAAACAGCTTCATTATGGTGCCATAAAATAGCTGTATAAATGGTAAATGGCCTGTATTTATATAGCGCTTTACTAGTCCCTAAGGACCCCAGAGCGCTTTACATATCCAGTCATCCACCCATTCACACACCCATTCACACACTGGTGATGGCAAGCTACATTGTAGCCACAGCCACCCTGGGGCGCACTGACAGAGGCGAGGCTGCCGAACACTGGCGCCCCCTTGTGGCTTTTCTAGGTAACGCACACTAATTTAACAAATGTAAGCTTCATGTGGTCCAGCTCGATGTTTTTGTTTCTTAACATTATAGAAGAATCTGATTTAAGTGATTTTTCACAAAATATTTAAATATATAACTCCAAATATCTGAAACATATTTCACATCTCCAAACTAGAGTGTTACAGAGTGACCAGTTCATCCATAGTTTGGTGTTAAAGTATTGCAGACATACATGTGAGCAACCACAGGCGAGGAATACAGGACAGGAATATTAATTTTATATGAGAAAAAACAGAAACATAAGCATGTTTTTCAATAGCTGTCCAGCAGATGGAGCTCTTCACTCATTTTCCTCAGTAATCTGGAGTCACATGACATCTCTAAAGGAATCATGTGACTTTTGTCCTGAGCTCAGAGTCATGCAACATACATGTTAAACAAACGTGGTGCAGAATGACATGTGATCCTGATTTATGATATTTTATCTTTATTTCTGTTTGTTTCTGAGCGTAAACACCAGAATAAAAGATGAGGAGTGAGCTGTGTATATGGAGGACCAAAACTGCCACAGTTTAAATGTGGGGGGGAGGTCAAGAAAATAAGCCAAAACTATTTGCATGAATGAATTCATATTCAAGACAAATTTTAAAAGCAATTATCTACTTTTGTGCCTTTTATTTCATGTTGTATTAAACCCCCTTTTTATTTGAACTGTTATGATCATCCATCCATCCCTCTCCTCAGCCGCCTCCTTAACCTCATCCAGGGACACACTGACACATTCCTGTGCCAGCCAAGAGATGTAATCTCTCCAGCATGTCCTGGATCTACTCCAGGGGCCTCCTCCCAGTAGAATATGTCTAAAACACATCATCTAAGAGGCATCCATACCCGGCTCAGATGTCTGAACTACCACAAATGGTTCCTTTTGATTTGGAGGAGTAGCCGTTTCTACTTTGAGCGCCTCCCAAATGACCAAGTTGCTCACCCTCACCTCTCTAAGGGAGAGCCCAGACACATTTCTGAAGAAGCTCATTTCCACCTCAAGTATCCACAGGAGCTCGCGGCCTGAGAGTAGAAATGTAGAACAACCAGTAAATCGAGAGTTTTACTTTCACCACTACAGACCAGCACAGCTTCCACATACCTGCTGATGCCACAGCAGTCGATGAGTCTCCTGCTCCACTCTCCTCATACTTATGTGCTCCCCCATGTTGCCACCCTGATGGAAAAAATTCTGGAGGCACCCCTGACTTAAACTCAGTTCGGAGCAGCAGCTACTCTTCACTGCTGTCCATTTTTCCAGCTGTGACTTTAAGGTGTTAATTCTCATCCCAGCCTCTTCACTCTCAGCTACAAACCTCTCCACTGTGAGGTCACGATCATCAAGACTGGCTTTTATTTTTTCATTCATCTTCTTCTTCCAGCTGCTCCCTTAGAGTGTCCAACCCTCTCTATTCCGCCTTCATATCTACATCTACATCCATGAA